CCCCCCCCCGCCATCACCGGACCCTCTCCTCGTCCTCGAGGATGGCTTTCTTCTCCTTCCGTCAACAGAGGCGGACGCCGCGCGTGTCGCTGCGGTGTGGGTCGGGCGCCGCCTGATTGCGGTTAAGGCAAAGAGGCTCCTCCCGGAGGACCCCGCGCCGCTCCGCTGGGCCACGCCCTATCCATCCGCCTATAATGAGACATTCTTTCGGCTGAATTGGCCCGCTTTGCTAATGAGCTTGGCCCATGAGCTGGTGCGAAAGTGGATTGCTGGAAGTGTCCCCCTCCCCCCCTCCCCTTCCGCCGAGCACATGGGTCAGGCAGAAAGAGAAAGGCGGAAGGGAAGGGGTGCTGAGGAGGGTGGGGGAGGGGTGACCCGGAGCACCCCGCCGCCCCGCCTGCCTCCCAGTGCGTGACCCTCCCCGCGCGCCGGCGGCGGCTCCAGCAGGAGGAGGCTCAGGTCGGCGATGGCGGTCAGGTTTCCGGCCGCCGGCCGTGACCTGTAGCCGGACGGGCTTGTAGTAACGGCTGCCCCCCCCCCCCGCCTCTCTCTCTCTTTCTCTCTCTCACCGGTAGCTCCGCAGGGCCCTGCCCTGCCTGACCAGTCCTGGTCCCCGCTGACCCACTGTCGGTCAGGGCAGTGCGGGCGGGGCTCCCCCCGCGGGGGGCGTACCGGTCAGGCCACGCCCCGCCACGCCCCGCCCCACCACGTCACGCTCCCGGCGCGCCACGCCTGGCTATCGTTAGGCGATGTCGGTAGGCTATGATGCCCCGCTTTCTCTGGCGGCCGGCCCGTCCGTCCTAGGGGGGTTGGACGCGACACCTCGACCGCCGCCACCTCGGCGGGGCGGGGCTGGGCGGGGCGGGGCAGGGCGCGCTCTGAGCGGGCCGCAAGGACGTAATATGTGCACACTGCAGTAACCGGCTTCCGGCATAACGACTTGTAACATCTTCGTCGTATGTCCGTGAGAAGGCCCTCTTGAATGTCACTGGTTCGCGCGGCAGAAAGGGATGTTTAGAGCCTCTCGGCAAGCAGAGAGCACCGGCACTGCTCGTGTGCACCGTTGGTGCAGTACCGCCGGGCACCAGCGCCCCACCAAGTAGACTGTTGCCATCGCCCTAGTGGTTCCAGTGACAGGACACGCGTTCTATTTGTGTGCTCCCAACGATGCGCATCATGTGTATCGCGTATACCTTTCATATCAAGCCACTTCTTTTTCCTTTCCACTTGGCTTCTTCCCCCCTCTCCTTTTTTTGTTGTTCTTTTTTCTTTTTCCTTTTTTATCGTCCGTCGAGCATCCCGTTGGATAGGAGGCAATTTGCTTGTGCAGCCGCCTCCAGGCGGGGCCCCGGCCCCACCTGGGGTAGGCACCGCGGGGTCTGAGGCGTCAGTTGGGTTGCCTACAGCACACGGCGCGGGGCCGCAGCTCGGCCAGTCCTGTGCGACTAGCCGGGGCTCATATGGGGAGGGAGAAAGTGCCTCTCCTTTTGTCTTTACGACGCGCTATCAATGGGTCGACACAAAAGTGCCCACGGGTCATTAATTAATTAACCAATCATCATCGCCCTAGCCACAGTGAAAAATGCTTTCTCCACTCTCGTTTCAAAGAGAACACAACACAAGCGACGCCTAAAAGTTACTTCAAATTAAACAACATCTTGTCGTTTTTTGTTGCAGGCAAAATGCGGCTCTCCGCGATCATAGAGCTGCTGCTAATCTTCCTATTCCTGGCCTTTGCTGCGTCGAGGGTCATAGGTGCGTCCACAACCCTCGAAGGAGTCTACTTTTAGTTAACATACCGATCAAAATGAAAACTAAATCCACCATGACTCTCGCTTTCTTTTGCTTGCAGTGCCTCTCGACACTTCGGTCAGGCAGATCGAATATGGCAGGGCGTTGAAGACCAAAGCTTCCCCCGCCAGACAACAGCCTGCGCCGGCGACCCCCTCCGCGGCCCAACCCGCTGCGGCTGCGGTGGAGGAGGCGGAGAAACCAGAGAAACCGGCCACCAAGCCGAGGAACTGCCACTGCTCGTCGGAGGTGTGCAGCTGCTGCCGGGACTTCAGGGTCGTCAAAGGGCCAGGTAAGCGCCAGCGTCCGGGAGAATAAGGGAAGTCACTGCTGTTCACTCGACGCAATGCTAAATGCCGTGCCGTTTCCTCTCTTTTACAGGATGCGCCAAGCTCACTTACCTCCAGGGGGACAACATGCTGGTCACCCTGAGCTTCGGCGAGCGGGTCCTTCAGAACGTCACGATCTCAGGTAACATAAACAGGAAGGATCGGAAATAGCGTTAGTGGCGCACGAAATCGCACGAAATCCTCATTGGCTGAACTCCTTTTTTGCAGGCAAAAAGCCCAAGCCCGTCTGCGTGGCCCTGCCCGCCGGACAGAGCAAGTTCTGCGGACGCGTGTACGGCATCGACCGCAAGAACGACAAGTTCGGCGCGTGCCTGGCGCTCGAGCTGCGCTCTGACGAGGAGGTCGAGGCCGCCGTCAGGCTGTCATGCTTCCGCTTCGGTCCCGAGGGCGTGCGCTTGGAGCCCGCCAAGCCCTTCCCGGCCGCGCCGGCCAAGAAGCCCGCGCGCCCGGCCAAGAAGCCCGCCCAGCAAGAAGAGGAGGAGGACGACGAGGACGACGAGGACGATGACGACTACCTCGGTGACGACGACGACGACGATGACGACGACGATGATGACGACGACGACGACGAGGACGACGACTTCGACATTGACGACGACGATGACGACACGGCCGCGGCGGCCGCCGACTCCGACTCCCCCGACTACACGGGCTTCTCGGTGTTGGGCGACGAGCTGCTGGGCGGACTGTTCGGCTCAGAGAGCTCCGGCACCAAGAAGAAGAAGAAGACGGCTCGGCCCTCCAAGCCAGCCAAGCCAAACAAGAACAAGAAGACGACCGTGCTCAAGCCGCCACCAATCTTCATGCCCACCGAGGTCGCGAACTCGGACCTGGTGAAGCCCGTCAAGTCGTCCGCAGCCACCCCATCCGCGTCCAACACGCGCCGCAAGCCCGCCAAGGTCTCCAAGAACAAGACCAAGACCAAGCCCACCAAGGCCACCAGCCCGGCCACCCCGGCCACCACGGCATCCACCACCACGACAACGGCCGCGGCCCCCAGTAGTGTGCCCCTTGTCCAGGAAGCCGTCACCCCCGAACCCCTGCTGCACGAAGAGCCCGTCACCTCCACCTCGTTCACCGTGAGCGTCGTCCAGGGCGGCTCGCAGGCAGAGGAGGCCACCACCGAGGACGTGGTGCAACAGACCGACGCGCTGCAGGAGGACGAGCAGGATGTGGAGCAGCCCGCGCAGGACAACATGGCGGTGGAGAGCCAGCAGGCCGTGCAGTTCATCGTGCAGCCGGACGAGAAGGACGCCGTCGCGACAACGGAAGAGAAAGAGGACGACGAGGACGACGACGATGACGAGGAAGAGGACGGCGAGGAGCAGGCCACCATCAAAACCTCCCCCATCGTAATCAGCACTCAGGTCATCGCTGAAGACAGGACTCCGGCCGGTGCCAAAAAGGAGGACGATGACGAGGAGGACGACAGCGTCACCGGGCTGATCCTCGACAGCGCCTCTTCAGTAACTGGAGGGGACGACGATGATGATGATGACGACGATGACGACGATGATGACGACGACGACGATGACGAGGAGGACGATGACGGAGACAAGAAAAAGCCGGTGGACGACGAGGACGATGACGAAAACGAGGAGAGTAACCTTGTGACGCCAACGACCAAGGCCCCAGTGAAGAAGGTCGACAAAGACAAGGACGATGACTTCGACGGCACTGGTGTGATCGGAACTCTGATCCAGACCGCAGCCTCAGCGGGTAGCGATGACGACGACGATGATGACGATGACGAAGATGACGACAAAAAGAGCAGCGAGACCACAACAGTCAAGACGACAGCCAGTAACAATGTCCAGGACGACGACGACGACGATGACGATGACGACGACGATGAAGGTGGGCCTGGTGGTGTCATTGGTTCGCTCATCGAGACAGCGGCCACCGCAACAGAGGACGACGATGACGACGACGATGACGACAAGAACGACGATGACGACGACGACGAGGATGATGACGAGGATGACCTAGACGATGAGGAGGATGACAAGCCCAGCAAAAAGAAGAAGAAGAAGCCCGTAGTCGAGGAGACGACTGACGCCGAGGAACAGGGCGTGCAGGACGAGGAAGAGACGGACGAAAGTAACGAGACCTCTGGACCTGCAAAGACTGCCGCCGGCAACAAGAAGGGTGTGAAGAAGCAAGATGACGATGACGACGACGATGATGACGATGATGATGACTTCGGCCTCGGACTGACTGACGATGACGAGCGGAGGAGTGCGTCATATAAACTGCTCTCGCGGGTGTCCGGGACCCACGCGGTCGCCCGGGGGACCCGGTCGCGGACCCACCGCCGGATGAGGCTATAGGTTAAGTGTGAAATGATGCTCAATGTCTGATCGCTCGACTATTTATTGTCTATTTATTTTGCTTAATTTATTTGTATTATTTATTGATGACTACTCCAGCCGAGAGAGGAGGCTTTGAATTCCTGAGTGATGATTTCGAATGAACCAGACAGGACCACTTGATCACATTCCCAAAATTGCATGAACGGCACATTTTTAAAA